GGACGCAACGCGACTATGATAAATAATAATAATATGTTAGTTGAGAATAATAAGGAAGGGGATTAACTGTTTAAAAACTTTTGATACGTTTACTTTAAATGTATGAACTTGTTTTTGTAAATAAAACATTTATTTTTGCGAATAAATGAAGTAATAAATTAATTATACTCCTATAATATTGAAATGATAAAGTTGTATTATATTAAATTTCACACTATGTGAAAATTACATAAATGGTTTTTTCTTCGTCTTACTCATGTCATGTATGACTACATTTTTCGTTGTAATTTTCGACATAATGTTCAATCTTTTTTTTTTTTTTCCAATTGATCTAAGTTATTTAATTTATTTTACATAAAGTATATACGTCGATAATAAACCCTTAATAATCGATAATGAATAAATTTTTATATCGTTCATTTATATGGTTGACTTTTGTATTAAAGTTGTTATTTCCTCAAAATATCGTTTCTATTGAAAAATATTACATTTATGAAGAAATTAAAAATTTCCAAGTACATTAAAGATAGTTAAGAATGCAATATTTTTTAGACTAAGCTTCTATATTATTAGATATAAATCTAAAATGAAATTGATTATTTGATATTTCAATCGCTTTTATATTTCGTTCGTTAACTTTTACATCCTTTGAATATATCTTCATGACACTTTGCAAAAGTACAAATATTATTTACTATATACGTGCACATGAATATGTATCTTACGCCACTATGACCATAAAAAAAAATTGTTCATTAATATACTTTAGTTGGAAACAATGAAACCTTCACTCCACTCTAGCTTAAAAGTAACTAACTTTGGAAAAAATTATTTAAAAAGCTTTCAGCGATTTTTAAAATATAAAAGTGTCGTGGACACAACCGTTAATAACAAATAATCGACACTTTAATAACATAAATATTTCAATTGAATTTGAATTTGCAATGAGAACCGAGGGTAGCATTCTATCTTAGAGATATATTTTTCTCTCTCCAAATGTTTCATCATAATAAAATGTATTATTTCATTTAAATGCCACGTGGACTTTATGACATTACTCGTATGTTGGAATAGCAATTGATTTCCACACAAATATAAACGGACAAAATAGGAAAATAATTATATTTCTACATCGACTGAAAATTTTACTTGTATTTCGTGTTCGCACTTATAACGAAATGTCAATTGGAATTTCGCGTAGTTTCCTGCTGTTGCTATCGTACTCATACAATCGACATTGAACTATCCATAGCGCTTCGTCTTCGAGAGAATTTCCACTCGGCAATAACTATTAGTAATACCAATACCAATAGCACTACTAATAGCTGGTAACTCGTATTGGAGATTTTCAGTCGATATTCTTCCCAATAACTGTACAACAATTGTATTTAAATCATTGAAATGAGTGTCGACGCCTGGCTTTGGACGATGTTGATCAACGATTGGCAGTAAATGACCGTTGACATTTCTCAGCTTAAGTTTCGTTAAATGTTTGTAATTGAAATGCCATTGATGTGCATCTCGCGATAGCGACATATTCGGTTCCATGGATAAGTCGCTGATTCGGAATACCTGCTTCACAATCTAATATTCCAGACTTTAAAGGGTAATTAGAGAGCGACACCGAATGTACGAGAGCATAGTCGCATTGGATCACTCTTTAATTTCGTTGAAGCGACGTCCGTCCGAATTAAAGTACAAAAGACTCGTGGTTAGCAAAAGCCGGGCAGAGGATGCAAAGAATATACAAACGCACACACACGCACACACACACGCACGCACGCACGCACACACACACACACACACACACACACGCACACACGCACACACATATATATTACATATTTTCTTAGATAATAGAGTTTACCTCACTGTCCAAACAGTTATAAGAATAATGATGAGATATTGTCTCGTAGTAGTTATAGTAATAGTTTATATTAAATAATTACGATTTTTGACTTATTGGCAGCGCCAGAAGGATTAAAATTTTTGCAAAACTTTTGTAGAATAATGATTCTCGGAGATCATAGATATTAGCCTTGTCCATTTATGGAGTAAAAGTAGTTAAAGCTATATAAATTTCTCGAACAAATCCGTCGCTTTATCTTTACGGGTTTATTATTTGTGTTGTGTTGGCATTTACATTGGAAAACTATTTTATTTGTATTATAAATTAGAATTTGATTAATTATTCTTAAATTTTCAAATATATAGTCGGGACAAAAAACGTTATTTTTATCGCATATTAAATTTATCGAAAACCGAAACTGAACTTTTGTTTTATTATATTTGCTATATATATATATATATATATATACATATGTATGTTTTAGAGAAAGTTATTGACTAAAATGGATATTACATTAAATTTTTCAATCATATATTCATCGTAATATCATTTATAATTGATATGGAGGCAGAGAGAGAGAGAGAGAGAGAGAGAGAGAGAGAGAGAGAGAGAGAGAGAGAGAGAGAGCGACATAACGTTATTAATAAAATTAATAGATTATATAATTGATATTCTAATTAAAGATTTTTCATTTATTTACATATTTATTTATTTATTTTTGTCAATATAATTTTGTTATTTATTATTTTTATTATATTTATTATATATGCGAAAACTTTTTATTGAAAAATAATTTATTATTAAAAAGCAATTCAATATGAAATGTAATAATATTAATGTATTTATTATTTGCATTTATGCGGGTATTCTGATTTTTTTTTATAGCCTAATATTATACTGGTAAAATTGGTAGGATTTGATAGATTTCAAAGATTAGGGAATAAATTATGTAACGAAACAAATACAACAAAAAAAAAAAAACAAAAAAAAAACCAATAAACAAACAAAAAAACAAACAAAAAAACAAACAAACGTTGATAAAATCGATAATACGACTATCTCGCGAATATCACGAAGTTGTCGTTAATCGTTGTTTTGATGAAAATAAACTTATTGAAAATTAGCAAAGATAAAGCAGAGCAAAAAATGAAAAAATAAATGGAAATGTAAGAATGAAAGAAAGAAAGAGAAAAACAACGTAGTTAAAACTTTCAAATAATAATAATAATAACAATCTTTCATTGATTTTCCTCGTGTTTTTATTGTTTTAACATGATAACTAAATATGCGCTGTATAGTATCGTGTAATTGAAAAATAATAATGAATAATTATTGTAATAGGGAAACTGTGCGCCCGTATATTTTATTTCTAGTCCGATATCACTGGTTCGATATTTCTAGGCAATCAAATAAATAATAATAATTTCATTGAGTAAAACGTCCATCTTTTAAATAGAAAGAAGAGCGTGCGATGCTCTTTGAGGTTGGCAATTTCAATGGCATACATATATTCGTCATATTTAGAGTCAATTTTGTTCGCATGAGTCATGAGTCACGAGGAGGGAGGAGATGTTGTTTAATTTCATAATAACAAGTTGGGACACGTGATGGGCGAAAATCCTACAGGACATCCGCCTTTCATTAGACAATAAGAATATCCACGAAAGGAAAAATTTGACAAACAAATGCCATCACACACATATATAAATATATATATATATATATATATATATATATATATATATAGATATGGAGCGATAACATTAAAATCGCCAGACTGAGCAAATCCGCTTCCGTTTACAAATTCAACAATATAAATTCTAAATCAGCAAGGACGAAGAATATAATAAACTTCAAATGCATTTTTAATATTACATCGTTGATTAACTCATTGATTATATCGGCCATTAATAGAACATTAGCCCTAGGTAGAAAATTATTTTACGCTTAAAATCATTTGCCGATAACAATTATTTTTATCAAATATCTAATTAACAAAGCGGATTTTTGAGGAACGATGATATACGCAAGCGCGCGTAGAACGAACGATATCATTAAACGGATGAGAAGCGAAACAATGGAGCAGCAAATTACCCTTTGAAGTACCTTTAGTGCCCAAGACAATGCACGAGCACGTCATTCTTGTTAATGAGAATTTTTAAGCGCCAGACAATCTAAACATGACGCGACGATCTCGTCGCACGGACTATAAAAATTATTCGCAACCCCATATCAGATATTGTGAGGCTGCTTTAAATTATTAGCGAAACACGGTGATTCGTGCTAAATCGATTTGATTTTTCGTCACCTCTGATAAATATCATCCTCCTCCCTCTCCCCCTCCCCCTCCCCCTACTATAAATATACAAAAACGGGCTATTAAAGGTGGGGAATAGCCGGGCGGGTAATAAAATTGCCATTTGCTCGCGATGATTAAAGAGGGTGCAGTTAGCTATTAAGTTAATCTATTATTATCATAGGGAGCAGGGGCAGTCGATTGTAAATATAGATGCATAAGAGGAATGAGTAACGTGGCAAAGAAGTGTGGCGAGCGGCGCTCTTCGTTTAATAAGAATTTTTTTCATGCTGGGTATGTCGCTCATCAGGAGCAAGTCTCATATCCCCATCCCCGCTAAATTTTCAGCTACGATGTGCCTCGGGCTACCTGGTAATATGGAATAAATCACGTGGCTGTTAATCTAGGGGGTGACAGGCTCGACGAGCTCGAGACGAACGAAGCGAGTTAAAAAGGCTCTTTGGGAAGGGGGAGCGTGACATTGATGATGATGATGTTGGTGGTGTTGGTGGTGGTGGTGGTGGTGGTGGTGGTGGTGGTGGTCGTCGATCCGATGCAGGTGTTTGTTGATCGAGCGGGCCTTCGATTATCCATCCTTGGACGTGTGCGCATCGAGATTGCAGAGGTCGGTCGCGCAGTAGTACCGCCGTTGCCGCCGCCGCCGTTGCCGCCGCCGCTGCCGCTGTCACCGACAGCGCCAAGTACGAGTCCAAGTCCAAGTCCGAGACCGAGTCGAGCCGATTCGAGTCGAGTCGAGTCGCGCTGAGCAACGGACGAGCGGGGGAGTCGTGGGGAAAGGCGCGCGAATGCGAAGATCTGCCGTCGGTCGACTAGTCGGACGAAGATAGCCACAGTCGTCCGTGGACGGGGTGAGGGAGCGGAGAGGGAAAATGGCGGCGGTCGAGGCACGGACCGCGAGAGCGACGGTCACCGTGTGATACGATAATATAAAGTCGGTCACGCTCTCTCGGCCATAATTCGCGAGCTCGGGACGAAGAGCGAGGCTCCAGGCGAGTGCAAGGCCGAGAGGAGTCGAGGTCGTCGCGAACGCGGTCCCGGGCGGGGGGTGGGGTGGGTTGGGGGTATCGGAGGTGGTCGTGGGCCCAGGGACGCGCGATGTAGGGGCCCGGGCGACGGGAGCCGGAGGTGGAGCACCGTAGTGTCGGTGAGAGCATACGTCGAGTTTCGGCCGGGGGCAGGCCAGTGGGGCGACTATGGCCCTGAACGCGAACGCCCTCTCCAGCGACATCAGCAGGCGCAATCCCCAGGACGAGTACGAGCTAATACAGAGGATCGGCAGCGGGACCTACGGTGACGTTTACAAAGTGAGCCAACGACCTTTAGGGGCTCGGGGCCGTGTTAGCCTCGAGCTCGACACCGACACATCATCCAGCCGGTGAGCGACGAGCTCCCGTTCCTGCGACCCAAGACGCGTACGTCGTGGCTGCTTTGTTGGCTCTGCTCTCATTGTTTACCTTTGCACTGGCCACGCGATCGCTAGCGAGCGCCGCTTTTCGTTCGAACGCAGGCCTATCCCTCCGCTGCTGCTGCTGCTACTGCTGTTGCTTCCCCCCCCCCCCCCC